ACAATTTTTTTATGAGAAATAATATTTTTTAATAATCCCTTTTTCATTCGACATACTTTATCTTAATCAGGGTATTAATAAGAAACTAGCAGATAATGTAGCTTTTGTAATTATCCACCAATTTCTTAGAATTAAACACTATCTACTGATTTGCATCGAAGCGTTTCTTATGATAGTGATTTTAATCACTGTCAGATTAAATCTATACTGGACCCAACTATGCAACATCCCCACTATGCCGCGACCCCACTGTGCTGGGTTTTTTTTACTCTATTTGTCTACTAGACTATAATATTACAATTTTTTTTGTAACATATTGCTATAGAAATCATTTATAAAAAAAATGATTGCTAGTATCTCCTGAATTACTAATTGATATTTACAATTATAATCAAATTTTATAGTACGCTATTGAGTAGATCTTTTTAACAACTTTGTTTTGATTGGTTCATTTAGTTAAAGTAAATCATTTAAATTAATTAAGTTCTCAATATTTCAATTGTAGAATCTTATCAAACAACAAAAGTTACTAGGAAATTAACACTATTACTCCTATTTCAGTTATCTATTACCATAAAAATGCAAAAAAATATTGAGCTTTTCTGATAAATTTACAATAAATAGTAATTATAAAACTTTCTGACTGCATATTGATCTTAACGATACAATTTTTTTAATTGTCATAAAATTTTCTATTTAATGATGTCAATGTCAAACTTACCAATTGAGCTAAAAGTTATGATAAAATAAATTTTTTTTTTTATTAAAAACATTTACAACAATCAACTTTAAACGATTAAAAAAATAGGTTAAATATGTCATTTTCCTTATTTTTAACTTATTAATAATCAAATTAATATTAAATATTATATCAAATCAGTATTAATTTAAAACAATTTTTTTTGTTCTTAATTATTTTTTTTTATATGTAAAAACTATTTTTTAATAATATTAAAACTTAGAAGTTATAGAAAAAGTCTAATTGCACATTTTAAAACATCGCGAAAAGTTGATTTAGAATAGTATATTTTTGTTTCTGATGGAAGTTCCTTGTAGTCCAGTGTATAAAACTTATAACTTTGTTAATTGTTATAACTTTATCAAAAATGACCAAATCAGTATATTTTTTTTTATTTAGATGCATGTCTTTATCTATCATTTGGTTTTTTTTATAAATCTAACCCTTTACCTGCCCACAAGAGGGATTCAAAATATTAACTTTTTTTTTTTTAGTTAAAGTAAATCATTAAAATTAATTCAGTTCTGGATATTTCAATAGTAGAATCTTTTTAAATATCAAAAATTACTTAGAAATGATTACTATGATTTCTATTTAAGTGTTCTATTACGATAAAAATGCAAAAAATAATGAGTTTTTCTGATAAATTTACAATAAATAATAATTATAAAACTTTCTGACTGCATATTAATCTTAAAAATAACATTGTTTTAATTCTCATAAAATTTTCTATTTAATGATTCATTCTAGTCAACGAAGGAGTAATTTTGCAGAATAGCAGAAAAAATTCCCAACAAACTTTTTTTTTTTTTGTTTTAATTAGGCAATTGGTGGATTATTCCAAAAGCAACATCAACTCTTATTTCTTTAATTATATCATGATTAGTAGTTCTTTGATTTTAAAATATAATATATGAATATATACTAATTATAATTATTAAATTTAGTATGAAATTGATATTTAATATTGTAATTTAAACGGAGAAATTATAAAAATAATAAAGAAGTTATATTTTGCTTTACTTTTACGTGTATAAAAATTTAAAGGGCTTGATACAATAATTTTCAATAAAAACTGTTTGTTACTATAAAAAAATGCACTGGACTACAAGGAACTTTCATCAGAAGCAAAAATATACTTTTCTAAATCAAATTTTCGCGTTGTTTTCAAATCTGCAAGTAGACTATTTCTATCACTTCTAATTTTTTATATTATTACTAATTATATATATAAAATAATAATTAAAAGAAAAAAAAATTTGTTTTCAAATTATTACTGATTTGATTTTTAATATGTTAAAAATAATCAGTCCAAATTTTCAATTTTAACCTATTTTTTTGGTTCTTTAAAGTTGATGAAAAATTTTTGATAAAGATTTATGAAAGTTTATAGTAAAATAAATTGAATATATTACCATAACTTTTAGCTCAATTACAAGTTTAAAATTGACATCTAGGCCAGTCAACAAAGGAAAAGGTGCGAAAAAAATTCCCAACTAAATTTTGTTTTTTTTAAATTTGAATTAAAATATGTATAATGACATACTAATAGTCCTCATCGATTGGAAATGAGCTTTTTTTTTAAATCCTCGCAAAAGTTCAATAATATGAGTTTTTTAATTTTCTCAAAAAATATTTAACAAAAAAAAAAAGTTTCGTACAAAAGTTGTTTAAAAAACAATTATAAACAAACAAATTATTTTATAGTTTTTCATTTAAACAAATATTTTTCGAGTTACATTACATTTAATATGAGTACTAAAATTTATATTCCATTTTTTTCATTTTACGGTTACTTTTTATCATGTTATACTTACATTAGACACAATGTTATAAATGCATATGTGTGTATGTGTGAGTTTATTTATTTATTGTATCATTAAAGTGTAGTGTATATTAATATACAAGCGATAGAGTAGGTAATTGATTTGACACTATATTGTTTAAACCCAACAAAACGCTAAATTGTACATTCCCATACAACAATCATATTATGTCAATTGCCACCGGAATTTCTGGTAATCTTTTTATTTTTCTATGTCTTAATCCCAACTACTTGGGGTCGGCCACACTTATCCTAAGATTCCACTTGACACGATCTCTCACATCTTCTACGCTCACATCAGCTGTCCTCAAATCGCATTCAATAGCATCCCTCCATCTCTTTTTTGGTCTTCCTCTATCTCTTCTTCCTTCAACATTCATTTCTATAACTGTTCTNCCTTTCAACATTCATTTCTATTACTGTTCTTACAGCTTCCGACTCATCTCTCCTCATAGCATGACTAAACAATCTAAGTCTATACTCTGTCATCTTTTCCACGATTGATGCAACACCTTTACTTCCTCTTATATGCTCGTTCCTTATCCTATCTTCTCTAGTCAATCCACTCATCCAACTAAGCATTTTCATCTCTGCTACACTTATTCTCTGCTCTACTTTCTTATCATCCGCTCAATACTATGAACCATACATCTTAGCTGGCCTCACAATTTCATACTGAATTTAAAAACTATAATTAGTATTTATTCATATATTATATTTTAAAATCAAAGTACTACTAATCAGGATATAATTAAAGAAATAAGAGTTCATGTTGCTTTTAAAATATTTCACCAATTTCTCTAAAGGAAACACTATCTACAGATTTGCATCGAAGCGTTTCTTATGATAGTGATTTTAATCACTGTCAGATATCATCTATACTTGTCCCATCTATGCCTCGTCCACACTGTGCCTCGACCCCACTGTGCTACCGTTTTTTTTGTTTAGTGTTACCTGTAACCTTTGATAACTTCATATACAAGGTTTTTTTTTTAAATCGTTAATAATTAATAACTAGATAATTAATAGTTAATTTATTTGTTAGTTTTCAATGGACAATATATATAGGCTGGACATAAAAAAAATGAACTAGATACAAGTAAAATTTAAAAGAAATCAAACTACAATAAGTATTTTATAATATAAAAATATTCTAATTGAGAATCTCGATTAAAGATTTTTAGTCGAGATTGTTTAATAACACGAATAAAAAATAACAGAAAATATTATTTTAATATTTATTATTAAAATGAAAAGTAATCATATTTTTTATATAATTTCGTTCATATACAAAATTATTTTAATAATATATATGCATAAAAATTTAATTTTTAAATTTTTTTAGAAATTATTGATTATTAATTTACAAATTAAAAACACGATTGCATTTTAAAGATATAACATATTTATATTTTCAAAAACTTAAGAGTCTTTATAATAAAACTAATTTACTATTGTTTTTCATTAGTCGACTGTTGTGATGTTTCACCAGTCTGAAATTTAAATGGAACATTATTAGACATAATTTTGTTATAAAAAGTGTATAATTATTTAGAAAGAAACGACGAAAAATTCCAGGTCGATAAAGTTTAATCCGTACTTATTAGGAATTGTAAACTGGCCGATGAAAATAGTTATATAGTTGTTTAAATTTATATAATTTAATCATTGACTAATTTATTGAGCAATCATTGATTACTCATTATAACAAAAAATAAGTAGAATAGTTGTGACCCTTTTAAATATTTGCGAATGAATAACATTTGTTATATAATGAAACTTATTTTAATCATTAGAGACGAAAACATACTTTTTTATATCATTTTTTTTGGACTGATATCAAACTGAAATTAGATTTTGCTATCACCTCTAGTTATTGAGATAATTACTAACTAGTAAAAAATGTGTAATAAACATAAAAAACAATTTTTTTTCAAATAGTTTTGATTTTTAATAATTTTATTAAAATTTTTTTAACAATAATTCGTGCGAAATTACAATTCAAAATATCATGTATAACCTATTTTTTACTTCTATAAAAATTATTTAAAATACCATTTTTTAAATCTTCATGAAATTTCATATATAATGATATTAATTTTAAATTTGCAAATTTAGCTAAATAAGTATGGTAAAAAGTTCAAAGTTTTTTATATAAATTTTCATAAAAATAAATTTTTAGGGACCAAAAAATAGGTTAAACATAATATTTTGGATTGAAAATTCGCATGGAACATTGTTAATAGAATTATTTTAAATCTAAAACCATAAAAATTTGAAAAAAAATTGTATGTAATTACACGTTTTTTACTAGTTAGTAATAATCTAAAGGCGATAGAAAAAATCTAATTTCAATTTGAAATGAGAACAAAAAATGGGTATATAAAATTATATTTTTGTTTTTAATAAAAATTCCTTGTAAACCAGTGTAATTAGGATGGTCTTTACACGCCCACAATACTTATTCATTATAAGTATTAGAAACATCGTAACTATTAACTATTTGTCCAAAATTTATTTTCTAACTGTCTAACTTTTTATAATAAATTTTTTTAATAAATACTCGACAGGATTTTTGAATGCAATTTTTCTGAAATGAAAAATGTGTACGCTTTAGATATTGATGTATTCACGTCAAAAATGATTAATTCGACTTTTCGAAAATATTCTGCAGGAAAAAAATAAGATACTACAAGGTGATAAAATCGATAAGCGCTGCCGGTTTTGGGCAATGCAATGGACATACATTTACATTGTATTGTATTTCTATAAACCGGTAACATTTAACTATACAAGACTTGATATTGATGCTATCTTTTAAAAATAAGTTCTCTTTTTTTCTAATCATAAACTTTAAACAATATTAGGGATGTTACAAAAACTGATTATTTTGTAAATAGGAGCTCAACAAAGAACCATTATTGTTAAAAAAATAAAATAATTTTTAGTTCTCATACTTTTGAAGATATTTCATGAGACGTAGTTAAGGAATCACTCAGTATTTTTAGCTACAATGAAAAGCTAGGTAGCTATTGATTTTGTGATGATGTGTGTTTTATACCCCCATCTATAAAAATTTTCAGCTCTCGTTGGGACGAATTTAATGATCTGTACGTCAAAAAACCCCGATTTTAATCTAGTGGAACCTATCAATGACGAAATTTAAACAAAAATACTTCAAAATTATGCTACCGTAAAATATAAATTACTAAATTAACAGATTTACATTGAATCGTTTTTATGTCAGTGATGTTAATCACTGTTAGATATTATCTATACTTGTGCCCACTATGCCACGACCCCACGATCTAAGTTTATTATACTTCACAAAAAAAAATTAGATTATTAATAATCAGTTAACTTCAGAAATAACAAAAATATTATAGTCAAAAAACGCTTAAAGTATTTGTAATATACATATTTAAAAGTATGTTTTCTCGAGTTTTGAGGTTTTGTCATGAAGAAGACAAAATGTTTTTGATAATGAACAATTAATTGACATTAATAAAAAAATAGTGATATGTTAAGTAGATTAAAATCTATCATTCTATTATTACTTTAATTATAATATTTTTAAAATAAATATATGCCTACACAAAAATACTATTAGTTAAAATAAAATCAATTTTTGATTTCCATATTGTTTTTGTGAAACAAATTTTTGAAGCAAAAAAAAAAGTACTACAATTTATTATCGGAGGGTTTCTCCGTTTCCTATAATTTTTATTAAATTTAAGCAATTTTGTTTTAATAATTAACAATTATTTTAATTTTATTTACTTCTTCCGGAAACCCATCACATATATCTACGTAAAATTGTTCAAGACAAATTTTCACGTTGTTAATATTGACTTTACTATCTTCAGTTAAAGAAATATATCGTTTAAAAAATTGGAAAAACTGATTGGCGCGTTCGTTTAAATTCCAATTTTTATTTGCAATTGAATTTTTAAAATCCCAAATCTTTCTTTTTGTTTTTTTAAGGAGTTCGTCGTCATCATCAAATGCTAAAATTCACAATACACAAAATATATAATTTATACTCAACACTACTAGATGATAACTTAAGGCATTGTCATATACAAATATGCTATACCAAACTCTAATTAAAAATAGATGTGTTCCACTGTAATTAGTTTTTTATACAATAAAATTGGATATTTTATAAATAGTAGTTTTTAAATATTTAATATTAATTAATAGGGATCGACAATGATTATCGTATATTGCTATAATTTCGATATCGGCAGTTTTTTTTAGTAAAATTTTGAAATCTATATTGTTATGAAATAACGCAATATTTTCGATATCAATTTGAATGTGCTTTTCAAAAATAAAATTGTAAGTTTAATTTGAATTTTACATAAAATGTTTATATCTGTTTCAATGTTGTGTTAATTCTGAACATCAACAATAAGTGAACTTTTTAATTGATTGACTATTAAGCCTAGATCTAAGCTTAATAACTGATGCTGATATCATCTATAAAATATATTGGATCTACAATATAAAAATTTAGCAATTGAATATAGTTAACTTTATGCTTATTAATGTTTGTTATTATTTTATATTTATGACCTTGGACAACAACGTAAAGTGAATAGTTTTAATAATACAATTGAATCGTACACATACATTTCATATTCATGATGTATATAAACAATCAATTTTTGCGGATGATATTTATTCTTAGAATTTTTTATCTTTATTAGTCATCAAACATGATACTTCTCCCCATAAAATTCCTAACTCATAATTCTAAAGTTATCTTTTTAAGTTTAAAGTTTTCATAATTAATTTATTAATCGATATTTTGATGATATCGAAATTAATATATTTCTATATATAATTATTTTCGACATTGCGATTTAATATCTAAAAAGTCGAATCGATATCGATATCCAAAAAATATAATTGAAGACCCTTATTAATTAACAATAAATATTGGTTAATTTTCATTAGTTTTCTATATTTTTATCTTTAAATAATGCTAATTGATTTCTATAAATTGTACGACACTAATTTTGCCTTTATGGTTTTTCTCAGATTTTTATATTTCTATAGTTTAAATAGATAAATAGGTTTTATAATTTACTATGTAATGGTTCAGTCCCAGGAATTAGTTTACGTATACAATTCACCAATTTCAATGCGGAGGAATCAAAGTTTTCATTGGCTATTGACATTAGATCATGATCATTTGAACAAATTATTTTCTGAAAGTAATAAAAAAAATTATTTTTTTTATTGCTAACATTAGTTTTTATGTTCGTCCTGCCTGACAACTAGTTTGGACTTAAATTTTATTAAATTAAGAACTATATAATGAATTTTATATTTGAAAAATTATTTTCAATTAGATATCCTAGGCATTCTTGAAGTATAAAAAAAAAAATTGTACAATTTTTGGCCTGGTATTATTTTTATCACTAGTTCTTTACTGGCCACGCTCTTCTTCACGTCTACCTATGCAAAATGTCAATAACTTATGAAATACTGGTCCAAAAGTGGTTATCGTCTAGTCATTTTCTTAATTAGATCATTATCTGTTAAATAAACTAGATATTTATGTTATTTAAATAAATTCTTTAATTTCGTTGGTATTCAAAAAAACTACATTTTTGAAATTAAAAACATATTTTAAACTTACAATAAGGCATAAGAACATAAACACAATACTCTTCATTTTTATAATTGGAAAATACCTAAAAATAATATTGGTTTTAAATGAATATAGTTAAAACAGTAATTATTTTTGTATTTTTCACTAAGATTTTCTTATTTTTGTTAGATTAATCACTTAATTTGTTTTTGGGTAAAGTTTTGTCCGTTAAACTATCACTTAGGTAAATCTTAAATTATTTTTCAAGGCGTTACACATTTTTATAAAGGAATTAAGATACATGTCATTATTAAAACTCTTACACTCATACAGAGTCATTGATTTATCGTTGACCACTAAAGTTCTCCTAAAATAGTAACAATTTTGATATTTTATTTTATTTTTTTTAGTATTATTTATTTTTCAATTTATCAATTATCAAGTACTTTTTCGGCATATCACTTATGAGGTATAAAGGGTCAATTTTTTTTTTTAATGACAATGTACATATCTATGCATCATTATATTATGTATAATTATAACGATTTTATAATATAGACCAGAAGAGAGATGAGAGTTATTTTATTTTAATCATTAGACATTTTTGGCTGCAATCTTCATCCTATCTAAGTTTAAAAGTATTAATAACTTCTAAAACACTGGGCCAAAAGTTGTTTTTAGCCAATCATTTTCTTTAGTAGTCCACTATGTATTAAATAATCCTATTGTCGTAACTCAAATAAAAGTAAAGAGAAGAGTGTATGACGAAGATGTAATGTCTGTTGAGTGGGTAATCACGAGCGTGTAATCATACAGCAGTCATTGTGCTCGGCTGACAATCCGGATTAGCTGTGGGTGTCGAAAGGCCGTTGTTATAGGAAGGGAATAAGGGTAACACTTAGATATGAGGTGCAGACGAAGTGCAAGACACAAATCCTAGGCGTACGAGGTGAGAAACATAACAGAGTACGAGGTGCAGATGAAGTGCAAGATACAAGTACTTTGAAATGTCGAAGACGAGAGTAGATAGGTTAAAAAGTAAGACAAAGACTTTGCTTTAAGCAGTAAGCCGGACAGCGACAACCAAGTACTGAGACTGATGAATGACTCAAGGCACTGTAGTCGACTGACCAAGATGGCCAGGTTTTTTGGATTTTTATAATAATTACCAATTTACTAATAATAGTTAATTGTTAATTCATCAGTCACTAAAAGCGGATGTGCTGTCTGTATTTTATTATAATAAATTCTCACAATAATGGTAACGCAACACTATCACACTATTAATTAAGTATGTTTCCATTTAAAAAAATAAAGTTGGTACCCTTATAATGGACAAAAGATAAACCAAAATAGCATTTAACTATTTATAATTCAAGAAATAAATACTACTTAAATAAGTCAAAAAAAAAATTATTATTTATAATTATAAGAACTCTAGTGATCAACAATAAATCAATCAGTCAGTTAGACCTATTCATATAAAAAAAATTTCTTTTTGTCTCTCATCCTCTAAAATTCTATATTAGAGTGAAGTAAAGCATTTTTTGAAATTTTATCTTCCTAAAATTGTTTTGCGACAGCTCATTAATATTGGATCTTTTACTAAAAAATTTGCCACGTACTCAATTTTTAAGACAGTATGTAAAAATTAGAATTATTTTAAAGTTAATGCAATTATCTTTAAATATCAGTGTTGAGAAGGAACTAGTTCCAAAAGGAACGGATTCCTGGAACGAGTACTTTTTGAAGGAACGATGCTAGGAACTGCTTCCTTTTAAAATAAAGGAACGAGGAAAATGAACAAATTCCATTTTTTAAGGAACGTGAACGGAAATTACAGTTCCTAAAATTTTTTATAAACATGTTTTAGTGTAGTTTTCTTCGTATCTAGACATTAAAATATTATGGTATTTTTAGTTGACTTTTGACAATGGAAGTCCCCTATATACCCAGCCGAGATCGTAGGCTGTTTAAATGAATCAATTGATTATAGATAGAGTTATTATCACATGTAGGTATACAGTAAATATTTAATATATGTGTACATATATTAAATAATGCACCGAATATTATCGTCGTTTCTTGTTAACTAATTTATGTTAAAGGTTTTGGGTTTTCTGATTTATTATTTCTAACTTATATGTAGACAATAGACATTGGTCGCGTTGACACAAGTCGTTAGCATTTACTACCTGCTTATAAATATAATTTTCGAATACTTTTAGATAAGGAATACTACAAATTTGTTTTGTATTCGACTGCTGATGAAAATCATTGATGACCGTTATCATGATCTCATTGCCACAATTTTTTAAATAACTTATAAAAGGAACGAAGAGTGGAACGAGTTCTTATTTTGGAGGAACTGGATCTGGAACAAGTTCCTTCTTAATATAAAGAATTAGGATCTGGAACGAGTTCATATTTTAGAAAATGAACGGGGAACGGAACGAATTCCATTTAAAAAGGAACTTTCCCAACACTGTTAAATATTATATTGATAAAATCTTTATCAGACGATTATTTTCTTTGTCAAATGCAGCGAAAGTGAATAAGCATCGAACATAGCCAAAAAAAAGTGTTGTATTTTCCTTAAATGACGACCACGCTCTCAATTTTCAAGTAATAAATGTAAATTAAATTTTTCTTAAAGCCAATAAAAATGTCTTTATTTCAGATTAATTCACTAATTAGAGCTATGAAAGTAAACAAACACAGAAAAGATGGTGTTATTTATAATTTATATTGTATCTGAAATAATACGATAAATTTCTATTTTCGAAATATTTCAAATTAAAAAAAAACGACCACATTGTTATTTTCATTGTTTTTGTAATGAGGATTATAATGCTCTTAAACTACAAGACGTAAATATATATTATAACCCAACCTATATATAGGTAACAATTAGTTATATTATGTAAAAAATATTTAAAAAGTAACAAAAATTCTATTTGTTTTTTTTTATTAGTTTTAAATTAATATTTCAAATATATTTTTAATTTTAAACAGATTTCTACTTAACTCTTATCTTAATTGTGTTTAGGAAAAATATATCAAAAATAATTAATCATTAAAATTATTGTTTTTTACTATAATTCTTGCTTCAGTTTTATTCAAATCGTTAAAGTAAAATCATGACACAAAAATGTATTATTTTTATTGTAACCGAAAAAATGGATGGCCTTAAATTAGCAAATAACAAACAAGTATTATTTTTTTTATTTTATAAGATCAATATAATAAAATTCTCTGTTAAACAAAGTTGGTCATATTATTTCAGATATAATATTGAATAACACAGTTTTTACCATGTGTTTTTTCTTTTATAGCTATAAGTAATAAAATGAATCACCTGAGAAAAATTTAATTTTACTCATTAAAATCTCTGAAAATGCTTTATTTCACCGTAATACACAATTTTTGAGGGGTTGAAGACAAAAAAAAATTTTTTTTTATATGAATAGGTTTATTCTATAATATATAATAATATAAACTCTTATACCATATTATGGTGTAAGGGTTTATGTTTAATTGTATTGGCCTATACAATGTTAATTTAAGTTGAAAAACCTTTTGGACGATCTGTAGGTAATTATAAATTGCTTTATTAAAATTAATATTATAAAACCTATAACAAAGGAAAAAAAATCAAATTTATATAATTGAAAAACAATAACGCATTAGTTTGATAACCGGCTAACGAAAGTTCCATTTGTAGGGTACTAAATAAGCCTAAAACACCATTCTTCTCTATGTGTTACAAAGTATAAAAGCTGCTAAAAACTTTCTTTGGAGCTAACGACATATAAGAACTATAATGAGTAGAAAAATATATAAATTAAATAAAATTATAAAAATAATTACCAAAAAATTAAGTTGTTTGACTGATCAATTTTGAAAATTTTCTTTTACAGATAAAACATACATTATAGATACATTTATACTATTACCATACATACATTATTTGCATGTTAAAACAAATATAGATATTATTAGTTTTATATCTATCATCAATTTTTTTATACTTGTTAGTTTAGCTTACTTAGCTATTACTTATTTACATTGCAGTATGACAATAACATCATATCTTACCTTAAACACGTAAATATGAATTTTATATTTTAAAACATATATATATATATTTATGCCATTAACATAGTCAGTAAATTTTTACACTTAATATTATTTATATTGTAATCATTTCAATGATATATGATCATTTGAGCATTAAACATTTTATGGAAGAAAACTGATTCTAAAATATAAAAGAATAAATAGTATAAAAAATTTTGATGGTTTAATGGCAATTTTGGGAATAATACTTATTGTATTACGAGCATTTTAATACATTGAGTGGACATTTATTGCTTTTATTACTAAAATAAGAATTTGTATTGTTTTTCTATATATTAACTTTAATTTAATGTAGATTTGAATAATTCAGGTGTTTTGAAACATTATCAAAAATTAAAAAGTACAATTTTTTGATATTTTTTATGCCTCCGTAGAACCTTGGTTAGTAATTGAATTTTTAATAAAAGTAAATATTCGGCAGGACAAATCTCTGAAGTGTAATCAATAAAATTTTGCAGTTATTCGTTCAGTTTTCAAAAAGTTCTTTCAATATAAAATGAAAAGAAAAACCCACTCCAAAATAAAAGCCCAACACTTTAGTATTAATATTGACTTTTTTTTAACAACTGTAATTTCCCTTTATTACGGGGATATAAGGGAATTTTTTTAAATTATGGTACTGATAGCTTCAACTAGATACTATTATAATCTTTCGACGATCATTGAGTAAAATCGATACAGTAAGAGTGCAGTGCCGTATATACTGACATACAAAAAAATCACCACAAAGTAAAACAAATAGATTCTCATCTACGCATCAAAGCCAAATGTATTAAATGAGTAATATACAAGGTATTTAATAAGTTTGGAAAAACTCATTATTTAAGAGCCGATATAGATTTGTTTAATATACAACTGTCCCGCCGTGATTTTCTAATTTAAATATTAGTTTATATAGTCAAATTAGTCAATCGTGGTGAGACAATCTGTATATATATTTTATTAAGGTTAATTAAATAATTTAATGCACCTTTTAGGATTTAAACGATATTCTTCCTCATTGTATAACTGTTAAAATGTACTCTAACTTGAGAAATTTAAATGACACCCCTTTCTTTTTCATTTCAAAGAAATTTCAATTTTTAAAATAAATATGAAGAAAATAATTTTTTATCTTTAAATAATTGTCATTTCAATGTTAAAAAAGTGTCTATTTAAGGCAGATTTTGCTATGATCATTTTTATGAATATCATTTTATAATGATGTTATCAATTGCAAATTATCTGCACATTTACTTAAAAAAAAATTCTTATTCAAATATGTCAAAAAAACTTAGATGAACATTTTATAAATCACTCTTGTATACGTGATCTTTCATTAGGATATTTTTAGAATATGCATATTAGTCAATAAATTATATATCCTATCTAGACTTTTTTTTTATAAGAGATTTAGCATTGATAACTAACATATCTAGCGATCATCTTTATCTCTGCTCATTGGAACGTATTGAATTGTTAAAGTCGATTTATCGAAAATTAATGTCATTTAAAGTACATTAGATTAGGTTTAATTTGAGATATGTATAAAAGTGTTAGATTTTCCGGAACACTTTCAAAAGTTAAATTAAAAAAGTTAATTTTTTGTGAAAAATTTGTCATTTTGAATCCCCCCACTGGGCAGGTAAAGTTTCAGATTTATCAAAAAAAGAAAAACTAAATGATAGGTAAAGACATTATTTATATATAAAAAAAAAATTATATTGATTGTTCATTTTTAAGAAAGTTATGACAGTTTTAAGTAAAAAAAAATTGAAAGAATTTCGAAAATTAGTGATCTTTAAATTTGTAATTTTTTTGGAGATTTCCTCCATTTACGGGAAACGAAAGAAATTTTTTCAATTTTCGTGGGTAATGTCTTTAACTAGATATGAATTGTGATCTTTTGACGTATCATTGAAAGAAATCGGTTCGGTGAGAAAAAGTGGTAACAGACACAAAAAAAAACACACTATAGCAAAATTAATACCTTCTCAGCTTTGCATCGAAGCTAATACGGATTCCATTAGAGAAAATTAAAGTTTAGGTTTTTTATTCATAAAGGGATTAAAAAAAAATTATATTACCACATTTTATTATAGATTTATTTGAACCAAATAATATTTTCATTTGCGAAAATGCATAATATACAATAGTTTCCATGTTAATAAGTGTCTTATCCTTAATTGATTATTCTGTATATTTAAAAATTGTTTAGTCATATTAAATATGCCTTACCGAATTTTGATAAATAAAATAATGATTTGTATATGGAGTTAATTTTATTGGTTTTATAATTAAAATGTTTAATTAATTCTATAGAATTCATGCTTTAATATGAAAACTGTTTTTTTAAATGAGGATCCTGAACAATGGAAATTAAACAAAGATTACCTGTCAGAAAATAGTATGCAATTTTGAGGATGTAAATGATACTGTAAAAAGAGCAGTGAAATTAATAGACGACTATAATTCACTTATAACAAAAAAAAGAGGATCAAAAACAATATCTTTTACAAGTTGTAACAGATTACAGAAAAAAATTTTCTGTTGCAATGAAAAGTACTCTGATTGAAAATTAATTCATTGCTACATTCATATCCATTTATATATAATAATTATTTATTTTTAGTTTTATATTATGTTTACGTTAGTAGAGTTAGATTTGTATAAAAAAGGTAGAATTACGGCACCAGAAATAATTATTTGATCTTAACGAAACTTCAAAAAACTTATTTTTATAACACATAAACAATTATTGGGGGCGTCCTGGTAAAAAAAATAACATTGAAAATTAAGGACTACCTTAATATACATCTAAGGTTGATATATACAATATAAAATCTATGTAAATAAATTTTAAAAATAAAATAATTAACAACTTCTAAAATACTAATTTTCTAGTTTGTAAGTTAGTTGATCATATATGTTTTCATTAAAAAAAATTATATTATAAGTAGGGTAAAATAGAGAGTTCTAGGCCCCCCCCGCCTCACCCTTTCACCTACCCACCCACCGTTGGGTGGGCGTGGTCGGGGGGAGGGGCGTGTCACACAGTGGGCGTGGTCTCTCGATGGTGGGGGTAATGTCAAGGTCATACAGTGGGCGTGGTCTCTCGATGGTGGGGGTATTGACCGTGGTCAAGGTCACACAGTGGGCGTGGTCTTTCGATGGTGGTGATAAGGATGGACTGGATTTATGAGGGTGGGGGTAAGGGAGGCGTGGACTTATGATGGTGGGGTAAGGGGAGGTTTGGTCCTATGATGGTGGGGGTAAGCAGGAGGCGTGATACCACGATGGTAGGGGTAATTTGGGACTTAGGTGGGGTTGTTAAGGTAAATCAAAATGGCGGTTTAAAGTGCGCATGCGCACTATAACTTCATGTCAGTGGTGGGGTAGGTAGCCATATGGTTGTCTCCTCCTACGATGTCATCTACTGGAGGGTAAGGTAAACCTCATGTGAACTGATAACGAAACTGATAAACGTACCTGTAAACATACACATTACATTGAAATAATGTACATCAAATAATGGCCGCCGTTGCCACTTTAACATATTTACTTAATATTAACGCTCTGTCAACAATTCCTATACAGGAAAGGGGTAATGAAACATAACATAAACGAACCTATAATGTGTGGGGATGAATCCAACTATATTATTATTACTACTATATTATAATGCTCATAGACGTCATCATTTTATGAGAACAATGACAATGTTTGTCGTTATAGCATAATTTCTAAGAATTTTATCATTACCTACCAGACGCTTAGATAAGCATACTTCCAACGTCAAAGGTACCGCCATATTATAACGTTCATAGGCGTCTGCATTTTTATTTTTTACATAGTATTTTATCATTGCCTACCACCAGATGCTTAGAAAAACATCTCGTTAATATTAGTATATTACTATTAATTATATAATTAATATAATTACTATAATTGGTAATATATTTTTAGAATTACTATGTTTAGGTTGCTATAATAGTATAATCGCTATTATTATTATTTTCTACTGCGCCTTTAAAATAATAATATGTGTATCGCATTTTATTTTATTATATTTAATTTGACAATTTTTTTATACCTATAACTAGAGGTATTACATTTAAAGTCGCACCCCCACTACCAGCACCCCCGAGTCTTCACTGCGTTTATCATTTAATGTATACATTACATTGAAATAGTGTACGTCAAGTAGCGACCGCCGCCACCACACTTGACTATTCCTTGAACGATTTGTAACAAACTCTATTAAGACAATTGGGTGTGAGGTGCGCACAATGTTTGAAACCCAATGAAAACTAACCTAAGTCAGGGGAGGGGGATTTCCTCAACATGTCGTAATGAGCGACGGGGTAATGAAACTTAACTTGAAACCAACCGCCATATTATAATCCACATTACCGTCTACATTTTATAAGAACAATGACAACGTTGTCTTTTTTCACGCCTACGCGTTTTATGAGAACTATTGCCATCATCGGTTACCAGACGCTTAGGTCGACATATTTCAAACATCAAAGAGGTCGCCGCATAGTAATGGTTATTGTCGTAAGAATCTTATCATCGGATGCCAGACGCTTAGGTCAGCATAATTCCAAAGATGATACAATATATTAATGTTCACTGCCGTATCCATTTTATGAGAAAAATGGCAACGTTGTCTTTTTTCACGCCTACGCATTTTGTTATTTTACTATATAACCGGTTAAACGCTCTGTATCTTGTCACATTCGTGTTCAATTAACGTTAACGCATAGTTGATTATTTGAAAACTATAAATTTATTATTTTAACGCGCAAATAAAAAATCATGAACCAGCAAACG